ATCCTGCACAGTTTCCTCACTTCCCTTCGTAGATATATTGATACATAAGACAAGAACTAGGAAAATGCACACAGGGCCTGCAAGGTGGGTTACTGTGCAAAACGAGTGTGCCTCGCAAACTTGCTGGTCTGTTAAGTCCATAGGAACTACGTAAAAGATACAAGGAGAGAACTGATTCCGCGGAGCTCTGCTTTGGTCTCCTCAAAAGCCACATCACACATGTGCACACACGTGCTCCCCCACATTGTTTAATAAATTTGAAATATTTTTTTTATATTTTTTTATTGAGAATAAGAAAAAAAAAGTTTCCGCCTCCTCCCAGCCTCCCATTTCCCTCCCCCTCCCCCCACTCTTCTCCCCCTCCCTCTCTAATCCAAAGAGCAGTCATGGTTCCCTGCCCTGTGGAAAGTCCAAGGTCCTCCCCCCTCCGTCCATGTCTAGAAAGGTGAACATCCAAACTGGCTAGGCTCCCACCAAGCCGGAACATGAAGTAGGATCAGAACCCCTTGCCATTGACCTTGGCTTCTCATCAGTCCTCATTGTTCGCCATGATCAGAGAGTCCGGTTTTATCCCATGCTTTTTCAGTCTCACCAATTTGAAATATTTTTAAATTTTGAATTTGAATATATACATATCAATTTTAAGTGAATATGCTAAATTTTAGCATATATTTTACCTTATCCTTCACACTTTTCTATTCATGTTTATGTTATATTTACTGTTCTAACTCATGGAGGTAAAACCATCCAAAACAGAAAAAAAAAAGCCAAGGTCCTCTTGAAGTTTCAATTCTGAGAAAGTGAGGATGGACAGTCAAGAAATGAGAGATGAGCAGCGTCAGGGCTGCTGACAACTCCAAGGCAGTCCTAACGGGTGGCCAGTACAAGCCTGACAGTGGAGTGGAGACTCTGAATCTTTACAGTAAGGTGCCTGAGATACAGTGGGTAACAGTCTCAGGAAGATAGCCTGGAACAGCCACTGGGATAGGTACAAAGTAATAATCTAACTGCATAGAGTCCTGGGGGCAAGAGAGAAAGCAACTCAGACATGTGGTCAGAAGTGAAACAGACCCTGTAATCTCAGAAGCCATAGCAAGAGTGTGGGATTTCCTCCATGTGAGGGGAGAGGTTATTTCAGACACATGAGCATAGGACAGGATGATCTCCAGTTGTTTAGAGATGGTCTTTAATGCTGATTTGAGTAGTTTACTGAAGAGAAGATGTCTAGGTAGAAACAGATCAACAACAAGGCTGCTATCGTAACCACCTGGGAACTAGATCCAAATTGTGATGGCAAAGTTGGTGAGAACCAGTCACAACCTGGTGAAATTTTCAGATTTGTTGAGAAATTGAACATGTGTGGCTTTATGAGTGGAATAAAGGTGAAAAAAATCAATGCACAGCTTTGGCCTGATCCTTTGCCTTTAATTTCAATATAAAGGAGTGCAGAAAGAATTTTGAAAGATTTGTTGTAAAGTTTTGGAGAGAATGGCCAGTTAAGTACATAATCCTGAAGCAATGTTGAAAGCCTGATAGATGTAGAATTTATTTGCCTGTACTTGTAGCCAATCGTGGAACAAGTGTGGTCATGACCAATATCGACACAGGCCCCTTAGCTTTTTCAGAGACCAGGCAATAAAGAGGAATAAGAAGAGGAATAAGCAGAGTTAGAGAGTTGAAGGGGACACTAGCCAGTATTTTGTTCTGGAGGGGACATGAGGAGAATACCCCCAGGATGATGAAGTACTCCCATGGCATCCTAAAATCAAGGAGAGAGGTGGCATCAGCCTCAGCCTCAGCCTCTGGGAGATGCTTTCTGACCTTTACCTTGACAAGAGCAGACTCAGTGAGTGAGAGTCTGTTCTGAGTCCTCGAGGTTTGCCTTACAGAGAAATGGCATTGTTCTCGTTCTCGTGAATGGGTCCAGAGAAGGCTTTTGTTTTTGTTGGATAGACAAATCAGTAGCCTTTCTGTATACTGACCTTCCTAAGTGTATCTGGAAATTAGATGGCTAAATACAGAAATATGTGAGGACAGAAGCTTGGGTTGTAATCAAGCCATGCTGAACAGATCCTGTGGGTTTCTGGGAGTTTGGAAATGTCAGGACTGCACTTGGTAACATGAGAATAGTGGATCACAGAAGGCGAGCAGAAGGCATTCAGCAGACCAACTGAGTAGAGGGAAGGCAGCAACTCAGATAGTTTCCAAAGCATTTTGCACAGTTTGGGTTAGAGTAGCTTCTAAAGTACCAAGGGGAAATTTTTAGTGTAAAAATGATAAGTGTAATTCTTTCCTTCATGCCCTCCTTGCCTTTCTGGGAAGTAGCAATTCTGTACGATTTAAGGGAAGAAAGCAGAAAGCCTCTCCCCTGCGCTAGGAGCTGTGAAACTAGCCTATCTTCTGTTGAGAGAGCGGCATGGTAGTTAATGTTTATCACTGTACCTCTCTGTAACAAGGTTTCCCTGGCACTCTGGTACCTAGTAATGTAGACGTCTTGATGACTCAAGTAATTTAGATAACACGGACGTCCAGAGTGTGACTTAAACAACTTACCAGTTTGGAAGCAAGTGTGAGTCTGTGTGCGTGGTGACTCTTGAGATAGAGAGCAGCTGGTGGATACGCTCGTCAGCCAGCCTGCAGGGCTGCTGAGAGTCAGGACTCGAGTCTGTTCTTTCCAGGAGTAGACTTTGTTCATCCACTGATCCAGATGAGGCTCTGCTGCGATAAACCCTGTAGACCGTGCTACTGGGCGGCAGAGTCCACCATTAATTAACTGAAGAGATTATTTCATGTGGGAATCATCCAGTCCCATAATTACCATCTACCAAAGAGCCATTAACACTTTATCTACAAATAATGGAATTCACATTATTTGAATATAATATCCCTGTGCTCCAACTAGAACTATTCTAGAATGTATCATCTCTTTCCATAATTTTAATTATGAGGAAATAGTGTGTGCTCAAATTCTGGATCTAAAACTGCAGAAAACAATTGATTCTATCATCAGACACCATTTGGTCTGTAACTGTGAGAAACAGAGTCCCCTAACAACCGTGTTTCCCCATTAGATGTGTAGGCCTAATATTGTCACTGTAGTTCTGCAAGGTTTTATGGGTTCAACGCACAGACAATAGTGAAGTTTTCATAGAATAAATATATCTAATCATTTAGCTTATGAATAATCAATTTTAAGATTTTAATTTCTGACTAATGTTATTTATTTTTCTCTCTCTCTTCTTCAATATTCAAAGTGTATATGCCACTGAAAGTTAAGCATTAAAAGTAAGAAAATTAAGATCCTTCTTCTATGTAAAACTGTTGGTAGTGCCAATTCAAAGTGCCACTACCTAGTTTATGGGTATATCAGAATGAATATCCAGAATATATGTGAATTCACAATATGCAAAGTTGAAGTAATAATTTTTATAATTATGACATAGAAGTAATGAAGAAAACAATTCACCCATATTTTAAAATTGATTTTATTTTCTATGTCAAGATTGAAAGTGTAAAACCTTTCATTCTAGCCAGATGATTAGAAAGATCTAGTTTTACTGGTTATTTTTATAGTAGAATAATCTTTCATTATTAATCTACTTAAGTCTTGTCTCAAGTCAGTTCACCAGTGCGAGCAATTAAAGATAGAAAATGCATGTGCTCAATTTCAAGAATTAAAAATAATGCCTTGGGAGTAAGCATGTCTTTTCTGTGGTGAATGGATTGTTGGATTTTCCAATTAAAGAAGTCTCCATACTGGAAATGAGTAGTCAATTATGAAAATTATTTTTGGATAGCCAATTTACATATCTCTAATTGTGTTCATTTCTTTTGAAAGACTATGTTGGAATTTATAGTGCTTTGATTGGTTACCCCTGCGTTTGTGTTATTAATACTATTGCCAACAAGGTTCCCTTATGAATGGGACTTGACTGCCCTTCTGAATATTATTATTTAATCATAAGTAAAGTTGCTTTATTAATGAATGAAAAATATCCATAGTGTTACTAGCAGTATTCAAAATTATTTAGACTGTACTTCTTTGGATTGGGAGTAGCTTCTATGAGCTGCTTCCTGAATTCACATACCTTACCCAAATGAGGAAGAGTTGAAATTCCTTATTGGAGTTCAGCCTCCTAGTTCAGCCAAAACTGCAGTCACACAGTAGGTCTGCCTTCATTGTCCTACAGTGCTGTGACATCAGGTGATTAGTAGAACATGTCAATTTTTTATGAAAAATGACTGAAAAGTAATATTTCATTTTTATATTAAAAATATGCAAATACATTAAATGAGTATATTTGATGTCCATAAAATCCACGATGAAGAAAAAATGATATAAAAGTCATGTATAAAAATGGACACTTGTGTATACATGATGAATACATATACTTTGTAGCTACTAACATTGTTTGCAAGTATGTATGGATCTAGAGCGTGTCTAGAAATACGTGTCATAAGGAAATGCTAAACCCCTTTGTGACCTGAATGCACAATTCTATAACGTATTATCTTGTTCATCTTTTGTATACTGAGCTTTCCTTTTGAACCCTAGAGTAGAGAACTTTTAGGCATATTAGAAAGAATTACAAGTGAGACCGTGAGTATAGTTTGGTGGTAGAAGACTTGCCTACCATACGTGAGGGTGTAAATTCAATCCTTCACAGGAGAGACAAACACTGAGATTGACAACACTTGATTAGGCAGATTCTCGAGGAGAGAATGTAAGAGGCCACCCTTTCATTCCTTTAATGAGAGCTGGCCCAAGCTGACTATTTCAGGAATATACAGACGAGAACAAACTCCCCATCACGTTCTGCTCCTGTGCTTGCGTGGATTATATTATTGAAGATTTAAGTGTCTTGGCATAATAAGATTTAAGATTTTTTTTAAGGCTACATTAGCTTTAAGACCAAGTAAAGATCACAATCAACTAGACACAGTGTCCCTGTGATAAGCATGTCCTACAAAGTAATTAGTGTTGTTGGCCTCGTTTGCAGCTCATTGCTGTGTTTGACGAACAAGAGCCACTCCAGAAGATTGAGTGCCCCAGTGGAAACCCTGTGGATCGGCAGAGCCCAGACGCTTTCGAGACAGAAGTGGCTGCTCAACTGGCTGCATTTAAACCAATCGGTGGGGAAATTGTCGTAACCCCTTCTGCTCTGAAGTTAGGTAGGTGGAATTTGCTGATGGCACTGTCCGACTGTCCACTTGTTTGCAAACTGCATCAACTTTCTAATTTCCTTCTCCGTGAAGTTTGTCCTATTAATACCATTCTTTATAAAAACATATGGTTTGTCCTCTAAGCTATTTTTCTATGACTCTCTGCTGCTGCTGGATCTCAGGTAAGGAAATGTAGTTTTTATCTTAACTCAAAGTGACTCCCAATTTCATGTCTTTGAAGAATCACACTGGGAGTCGGACTGTAAGTGATGAGGTATTCCTGTATCCTAGAAGCATCACTGTTTTTGTAAAGTTCATTGTTTGGCAAAAGATAAGGGTTACCAAGGAATCCACACTAGAAATAAGGTTCCCTTTCTCTCGTAGGCATCCTATTTTTCTTCCTTTATATATCTTAGACAGTGGATGAAACAGTTGGGGAGTTAGTTTTGGAATTTGAAATTGCCTCTGATTTATTAAAAAAAAAGAACAGTTTACCTGATGGTTTTGCTTAGAATTCCTTTTCTTAATATTTGTTTGGAAGGTATAGGGAGTGAAAGTAAACACTCTTCTAAAGTTTCTGTCAAGCACCTGTCTGTTTTTGCTGATATTTCTTAGGGATTGGTTTAGGTCAGTTCAGTAGCTGTCGTTTTTGACAATCTACTAATGTGTCAGTGTCAATGTCACTTGGGTTGATTGTGAACGCAACATGATGGGACTGCTCCTTGCACTGCCTAGAACATAATTAGACTTAATTCTCAGGCAGAAGGACAGACAGAGTCCCCACTTCTCAAATGGACACTGCTTTTTTTCTTAAAGAAGAACATGCACTTAAAATTGTGACAACTTAGCTGACAAGAAGGTTAGACTGATACACTTGCTGTCTGTCAAACCCTGGGACCCACAAGGTGGAAGGAGACAACCAAGTGCTTTAGACGTCTGCTGACTTCCACAGGTATACCTTGGAATGAATGCATGAGTACACACACACATGCTAATTCAATGGACATATTTAAATTGTAAAAATTATACATAGTACATTTCCCCCGCTCATTTGAAGTTCAGTACTTACTATTGCCCACCATGGTATTACGTGCCTTTGTCCCAGGACTTAGGAGTCAGAGACAGACAGATGTCTGTGAGATTGAGGCCAGTCTGGTCAACATAGTGAGTTCCAGGGCAGCCAAAGCTACATAGTGAAATGCTTTCTCAGAAATAAAATAAACTTAACTGTTGAATTTATTATATATCTGAGCAAACCAAATAACCCCATTTTGTCTCGATTTTCTGAAAAGCATCTGTAAATATCCCTTTTAAAACAAACCAAAAGGGAATTAATGACCTAAGGTCTTTCTAATTTTCTTGCATATTATGGAATCAAGCTAACAAAGCAGTCTGTTGGAGCATAGATGGCGAAGGGCTGGTTGGCGGCTGCTCCTCTTCTGGAGCCAGGCTTGTGGCTTCAGCAACCTTGCAGCCCCATTGTTCATTTGCATAATGGATGCCTTTTTATCCATTATGCAAATGGTATGAGAGGAAAATTAGGCAATAAGGGAAGACGAAAGGAGAAAATTGCTCTTGCTTGTTTTAATATTCTATTTATAAGCAAGTGCTGTGGGCTTCAAAAGGCTGAGACTCATGGTATCCCTGCCTCTGGAAACATATTTTCACCTTTCTCTTACGAGCTGTTTCAGGCAGGAATGTTTGTTTTTCTTCTTTTTCATGGCTTCTGTGGTTGGACCATCTGATCAAATTAATGATGTTGAACCCAAGAAGAACCAACTCAAATTTTCCTCCTTTCAAAATAGATTCTATTTTTTTCTTTTTCTTTTTTATTATTATTTTATTACTTAAAAAATACCAATCCAAATTTCCTCCCACCCCTCTCCCCTCAAATCCTAAGAAAGGACAAGGCACCCTGCCCTGTGGCAAGTTTAAGGCCATCCCTACTACATCTATGTTGAGCAAGGTATATAACCAAAGGGAATAGGATCCCAAAAAGCCAGTACATACAGTAGAGACAAATCCCAGTGCCACTGTCAGTGGCCCCTCAGTCTGCCCCAACTGTCAACCACATTCATCAGGACTAGTTGAATTCCATGCTCATTCACTCCCAGTCCAGTTGGAGTTGGTGAACTCCCATTAGCTCAGGCACACTGTCTCAGTGTGTGAACTTATCATGGTCTTGACCTCCTTGTTCATATTCTCACTTCTTCCACTCTTCAACTGGACATTGGTAGCTCAGTCCAGTGCTCCATTGTGGTTCCCTGCCTCTGTTTCCATCTGTTGAGATTCTATCTTTATTTTTAAAAGATTTGTCATTTTATTTTTTATTTGTGTGCATGCACATAAACATGTGCAGAATACATGGAAAACTAGAAGAGGATGGCCAATGTCCCTTAGACCTATAGGTACAACGAAGGGATGGTGTTGGAAGAGGAATAGATCTTCATCATGAAGAATGCTTAGACATGAAGGATGCCAGCCACAGAGCCCTAGGCTTTCTTTGGCCTCTTGCCACCATCTTCATTGATCAGCTTTTATGGTTACTTAACCTACCTATAGCCACCAAGAGCCATTTGCCATTTAATAATTCCTTTGAAATGTTAATATCTTTGTGTTCAAATATTGCTCACTTTTCCTGACTCTCCCCTCTGTTTCTGTTTATCTGGTAAATATGAGCTATTTCTATCTAATCTTAAATGCTATATTTTTTAAAGCTTTGTCTAAATCTTTAAGGCATTGTTACATACAAATAGCTGGTAATTTCCAATTATTCAGTAAATGAAAATAATCCCCCAACCTAAAAAAGTTTGCAATCTCATTTATAACTTTTCATTTCATCTTGAAATAAAAATTGAAATGAGTTTAAAATCTCATTTCAAAAAATATGTGTATTTTTATGTTTATATTTAATTTGCAAGCTAAGTTTTAAATCAAGGGGCAAAAACATAATGCCAACCCCATTTATCAAAATTATTTCTATCATGAATTTTTTTCTACTAGATTCTGTAATGACTAAGTGACTGACCCAGACTCAGTTTTAACAAATTACTGATTGGCTGTTTTATTATACATCCTAGAAACTGCTAACGCAACAGTCTATTTAAGAGAAAAAAATCTGTTGACTGAAACAGTAGGTAGAATTGTAGAGAGTTACATTCATAGAATCCCTCTGAACTTCGAAGTTACTTTGTTCTAGAATTTTCCCCATCCCCTGTAGAGCCCTATAGTACGTCTAAGCATTGTTCAGTGATTTGACAATTACTTGATGCTGGTTAACAATAGCATTGTTGGTTGCTTACATTCTTAGTGTTATTGTATTCATGCTCCATCTCTGAACAAGTCAGGTAGGGATAACCAGCAGGTTGCACAGTAGGTCATGCTCACAGACGTACACGAGTTTGGTGAGTAGAAAGTCAGCAGTCAGATGCTTCCTGGAAGTCCCATAGCAAGGATGCTCACCTTTACTCGAAGACCTTATGCACCTTAGAATAAATTGTATAAATATGGTTACACTGGACTTCAGAATTAGCAGTTGTCTGGGTGGCTGACACCATTTTACAAATGAATATGTGAAAGCTTCACTTCATTGTGTGCTCCAATGTTGAATGACTAGTTCGAATGCAATGAAAATCTACCATCAGAAACTGCTGCTTTGGTTCTCTAGCGTCACGCTCCTTCATTTACATGACATTTTTGATGAGTTGTATGTCTCAGTTATCCATGCCCCTTAAATACTGGATGTGATAATAATAATATTTCATATCCTTTTGGAATTGAGATAAGGTGTAAATTAATAAACTGATACTATGAATAATTGTAAATCAAAAACCAATGGAGGAACCAAGACTAGATAACTGAGGCAACTCAGAGGTCTTTTCAATTCTATAAGTTACTGGTTGTTTTCTACCTTCATATAGGTAGTGTGTGTGTGAGTGTGTGTGTGTGTGTGTGTGTGTGTGTGTGTGTGTGAGAGAGAGAGAGAGAGAGAGAGAGAGAGAGAGAGAGAGATCTTACATCAAACCAGCAAGCTAATAAAATATCTATAATACTTTTTTCTAAAATGTGGATCTCTCTGCACCTTTGCTGATATTTCAGGTCTTACATACAAGGCCATCCTGGGGGGATTTTACTTTGAAGTTTGGAAGAGTAAGAGTCCTTTACCTCTCCCATGCCTGTTCCTCATGCTACCTTCTTTGATCCTCTACTCTCCAAAATACTTTATGTAGCTATCACCCAAGGTTGACATAATTCCTGTCACTTGTAGGCAAGTGAAATGGTCCAAGTCCCTGAAATCTTTATTCTGTGGATCCAGATGTGTGTACTAAGTAAGCCATGTAACTTGTCTCTCTCAGGATCACATTTTTGCACACAAAATTAGATGAGGCTCCATTTGGATTGAAGGTGCGGTATGCATGTCACATAGAATGCTCCTTGTTATGCAGCCATCATCGGCAGCTTTCTTGTCTATGAACAAATCTTTGTTTTGCCTCTGAGGGCTGTGATTGCCTCAGGAATATTTCACTAGGACCCAGCCGAGTTTGAATCCAGCTCTGTGCTCCTGTCAATTTCCATCTCTTGACCCCAATTAATTAGGAGTTTTATTTTGTGTCTTTTGATAATTTTCTCAGCACTTGATTGAAATTTGCTATTTTGGGTTCAAGCTTACATGAAAAGATATTTCTTTAGTTATAATTATTTTAGCAATGCAATTTAAATAGTGTCTCAGGATTAAAAGGACTTTGGATTTGGCTGTTGCCACTCCTGTGATCTGTGTTACCTAGATGTAAAGCTATCTGATTAAAGTTGGGAGTTGAAATGATATTAGTTTTATTCTATCTGTGTTAAACTTTGAAGATGAGGTACTTTTTGTTGCAAGTCAATCTTGTGTCTGAGACCTGAAAGGTGCCTTGGGAGCTTTATTGTTTCCATGTGTGTTGTGTTTCTTCAAAACAGAAATGGAAATTATGATTATATGTTTGCTACAATAGTATTATTTTCAAAACATT